TTTTCCTGATATTCAGCCTAAATCTGGCTTCTTTGAGCCCATTATTACTTTTCCGACACTCTGGGACGATTGAGAATAGATCCTGCCCTTTCCCTTTAGTTAACATTTCACAGTCTTCAGTTATCATTTCACATTATGTTTGAATTGAGAAACTGTACTTAACAACTTCAGCATAAGACCAACTATGAAACTATAGATTGGCATTGACTTAATAATTCTTACTTACTCTTGCCATGAAGAGGCTGTGTGTATAACCCACAAGTTTTTCCCCCCAAGTTTCATCTTATTCAGTTGAAACACAGTTGTTCAAACCACCCTGCTAACTAGTCACTGATTGGGTTTACAGAATGTCCAGAACAGATAGACAGTTCAGATTTGATTGACACAGGAGTCTAATGCATCCTGATTTCCAGAAAAGGGACAATAGTCAGAACACTTGGATGGCATCATAGCAATGGGCAACACTGTGATATAACAGTAGCTGGGATAGGTTGCTATGGATGTGTTTGATTTTGTCTGCTGAAAGCATTTTTTGGATTGAGGAGAGAGATTTACAGAGGCAGCCTAGCAATTTAAATCTGAAATGTGTAGAATTTCTAACACCACATGTTTTAAGACTCCTTACAGTGGAGGAACTGAACTTTTTTTCCAGTATCTAGAAATGTATCATTGTTTGTGGAGTGCACTAAGCCCTAGTAACTCCAGCAATATGCATGAATAAAATATTGTTTGTGTTGATTTTCAATATACATACATTATGGTTGTTGTGGGTTTTTCGGGCTCTTTGGCCGTGTTCTGAAGGTTGTTCTTCCTAATGTTTCGCCAGTCTCTGTGGCCGGCATCTTCAGAGGACAGCACTCTGTGCTCTGGTGTAGCTGGCTTTGGGAGTGCAGTATTTATGGCTGTGAGATAGGCCTTTGTCTTTTTCTGTAGATGGGTGATTAGTGTGTATTATTGTGGGTGTATTGTTGTGCTAAAGAGAAGAGATTATCTGTTCCTGTGGTTGATGGGTGTTCATTAGCTGGTCTTTTGTGTGTAGTGATCCCCTGTCTTTGTGGCTGGGTAGAGTTCGTTGACTTTTTGCATGCTGTATTTTTGAGAGCTGGGAGCCAAGTTTTGTTGAGCTTCACACTTTCCTCTTTTCTGTTGAGGTTTTGCTGGTGCTTGTGGATTTCAATGGCTTTCCTGTGCAGTCTGACGTAATTATTGTTGGTGTTGTCCGGTATTTCAATATTTTGGAATAGAATTTCATGTCCAGTTTGTTTCAGGGCATGTTCAGCTACTGCAGATTTTTCTGGTTGTTTTAGTCTGCAGTGTCTCTCATGTTCTTTGATTCTGGTGTGGATGCTTCGTTTTGTGGTTCTAATATACAGTATACCTGGTCACAACTGCAAGGTATTCGGTATACTCCTGCAGTGGTGAGGGGGTCTCTTCTGTCCTTTGCTGACCGTAACATTTGTTGTATTTTTGTAGTGGGCTTGAATACTGTTTGTATTTTGTGTTTTACATACATTATATTGATCATCCTTGGAGAACAACTCAAAGTTAAAATAGTCAGACAGACATTGTTACAAACAAGAGCTTTGAAGACGAGGCAACGTAAGTCAAAATATGTTGCTTTAGCTTTTGAGAACAAAACACTCAAGTATCTCCTAAACAATTAACTACAATGTTTATTGTTGCTTGAAATTAACTTACTTTAATTGCCGAGTTGCCAGTTTAATTATCTAATTAACAAAAGTTCTTGAAATCACATTTTCTGTACTTCCTTGCAAGCGTCTGCTTAAAGCTATTGTGATCTGTTTGGAACTGGATACGCTTACCGTGCTAATGGGAAAACTGTAATTAAGGTGGAGTGACTGGGACTTTGCTCTGGAGCACCGAAATTTAGAGGTTATTAACATCTAGAGGTGAAACTACTAATGAATTTTAGGAAAATGAACAATAATACATCCTGGACTCATTAATTCCCCCCCCCTTTTTTTTAAAAAAATCAAAACCTTTTTTTTTTTGAGTGGCCATCACATTCTGCTCCTTTTTCTTAGAGGAGTTCTTGCCTGTGTAGCTGGATGGAGTGGGCAAAAGGCAGCATTAATTGTCCTGGGTGCCAAAACTGATACTTACGGCTATGGTTAATAACTTGTCTTTCTTTTAATTTTCAAGGGATATCTGTCGGCAGAACAAAGAATGTGACTATTATTTCAGTATAGACGCTGATGTTGTTTTAACAAACCCAGATGTTTTAAAACTACTCATAGAACAAAACAGGTAAGCTTCAGGTGAGGAAAGTGGTGGGGATCACCAACCCTTGTTTATTTCCTAGTGGCTGGATCAATTTCAAATAGTCATTGTTTAAATAGTTTTGTCACTGAGGAAAAGAAAGAATGGGTTGCATCCAACCATGGTATGCCACTAATACGATGGCAGCATGCATCAGGAATGGGAAGAAAGATTCCTGGATGCAGCCCCTCCTCAAAAGCCTGTGAGAACCGGCTCTGAAAAGCTGGAAAAATTCTGAAGCTGGTTTTCAGTCAGTAAAAAAAGTGTTCACACAGTCAATTAATGAAATGCTGGTTTAGGTAACTGGCTGTGAAGCCAAAGGTTGGGAGTTCAATTCTCCACTGAGACTCCTTGACAGTGATCTGTAGGGTCCCTTCCAGTTCTCTGCAGTTCTAAGATTATGATTATAATTCCTCTTGCTCAGTACGATAGCTGGCAGCTCTCCAAGACTGGGGGCAATAGTTTCCAAAATTCTTACGTAGTAACTTTTAAATGGAAAGCCCAAAACCTACTTGAAGACTTTTAAACATTAGGCAATTTGTGCAGCCGTCAAGTTGTACCTTCTGCCTTTGCTGCATTAAAAGATTAAATGAAATAAATAAAAATATTTATTTTCTTGTAGTTCATTGCTGTGTCCACTGAGACTCCTTGACAGTGATCTGTAGGGTCCCTTCCAGTTCTCTGCAGTTCTAAGATTATGATTATAATTCCTCTTGCTCAGTACGATAGCTGGCAGCTCTCCAAGACCGGGGGCAATAGTTTCCAAAATTCTTACCCAGTAACTTTTAAATGGAAAGCCCAAAACCTACTTGAAGACTTTTAAACATTAAGCAATTTGTGCAGCCATCAAGTTGTACCTCCTGCCTTTGCTGCATTAAAAGATTAAATAAAATAAATAAAAAGATTTATTTTCTTGTAGTTCATTGCTGTGTCAAATGATGGTCATAGGCAGGTGAACCTGTATGTGCCAGGGCATATCTTAGAAATGGCTATTTAGCAAGCCTTCACAGCACACATTTAGGGCATGAAGAAATCATTGGAAATTGAAGGGAAGCAATAGTTGGGAATATAAAAAGCCCTGTGACATCAGTATCCAGCTATTCCTTTGTTTTTGCTTTGCCCCTTTTCGACCATAGTGCTTCTCCTACTGATTTTCATCTCACATTTCAGCTCTATCAAAGTCAAGGTATTGGCTATTGTTCTTTACCTCCAATGTAACTGCATGCATCTTTGTTTTGTTTTGCTTTTTTAAAACCAGAAAGATGATTGCTCCTCTTGTAACTCGCCATGGGAAGCTCTGGTCAAACTTTTGGGGTGCACTAAGTGCTGATGGATATTATGCAAGATCTGAAGATTATGTGGATATTGTCCAAGGAAAAAGAGTGTGAGTTAATCTTACATTGTTTAGTTATTTCACATGCAGATAAGTTGGCAGGTTTACTCTTGTTTTAACTGCACATTGTTAATAATAAAGATTTCAGAGATGTCTTGTTGCTTCCCCCCCTTCAACTTCTTAAATGTGTACAGATATATTGAGAGTCTGTATCAAAAACAAAGATGTGTCAGATCTTTAAGAATTGGTAACAGGCTGTAATATTGTCAGGAATCTCGGTTTTCCTTTTGAAATAACAATACCAAAGTTAGAGCTAGTAAATTAACTTTTGTTAATTCAGTGGTTAAAATATTTGTAGAAACTGTGGAAGATAGTCACTGAGTCCTAGTAGGAAAGCACTGGTCCAGAAAAGATGCCTCAAATATTTTTGAACTGTTGGCATATCTTTATTAAATTTGTAAAGTACATTCCAAATAATTTCTCACACTTCCTTAGCAAAGTGCTTACACTCATTGTGATGTAGGTATATTCATAATAATATGATTCTTTTAAAAGTTTGTGCCTTATGTGTCGGTTTAATCGAATAAAATAGTGATTCAGTTCTAAAACTGAATTGTTATCTTTATTTCTCATGTAAACCTCAGTTTGTCCAGCATAAGCAGGTATCAGGTGTGCAAGAGCTGAGCTATGATGTTGCTTGCCTGTTCTTCATCAAGCTTTGCAGCCTTCTTCTTGCATGATTCAGTATACAGTGAGTGCAGGAACACTCGATGACAAAAACAATTTTAGAAAGTGCTTTAGTATGAGTGTTTTTCCACTACTGAGTTTTCAAAAAATCAAAAAACAAAAAAGAAACAAAATACAACCTGACCGGGTTCTTTGTCTAATTTGAATTTTTTTCTAAAATTCAGCACAGGGGACTTGTTTCATTGAGTTGTTGCAGAACGAGAAAGTGCTGATTATAAAAATTATTATGGTTCTATTGTATTTTTTTAATTCTGGTTCATAGGTAAAACAATACAAAATTATTATTTTTTAAATGTGCCTTGTTTACTTTTGAAAACCATGAGTGTAAAGCTGTCTGAGGTGAAGAGGATTTTTAAGAGTGTTTGTGCTTTTATGAGTGAGATTAGTAACACTTAAGGGTCACACAAGATAAATCTGAGATATGAACTAATACTTTAGTGGTACCCAGAGGATGGGAGTTCAATTCCCTTCGGAGTCTCCCTTGAAAAAAGCCAGCCTGTGTAGGCTTGAACCCAGAGTGCCCCAAGAAGAAAGGAATAGTAAGCCACTTCTCAGTACTTTTTTTCTAGGAAAACATGGAAAAAGACACTGTACGTCATAATTGACTTGATGGTACACAAATAGCCCTGTAGCCCCGTCCTTCCCATGAGCAAGGAAACAAAGCTAGAGGTCTTCCATTAACCATGTATTCCTATTTCTTATAACCCATAAAATCCATGTTTTGAAATTGGTTTACTATCCTAGTTTGTCCTGAAACCATTGATGAACGCTGCCATAAAATAAGATGCCTGAGGGCAACAGGACACATTCTTAAAGAAAGAAATATAGGGACTTTGTGCTGATGTTGTAAAAACCTCTCTGAGATCTTTTGATATCCTGCCCAATTGTGTGCATATTAACACTCCTGTCATCTCTACTTATCATTTCTTTCACAGAGGTATATGGAACATTCCTTATGTAGCTAACATATACTTGATCAAAGGCAAAGTGCTCAGATCTCAGATGAAGGAGAGAAATTATTTTGCACGTGATCGAATGGATCCTGACATGGCCCTTTGCAGGAATGTCAGGGAAATGGTAAGGAGCATGCTTTGTAATACCTTTGAAAATGCCCAGCTACACTTTTGATTATTATTCTTTCTTATGAAAAGTACTAGCCAATTTTTTCAGTTGTAATCATGTTTTCTTGACATTTTACCTGTTCCACAAAACAACTAAAACCCCAATGTTGTATGCTGCCAAATTCTGAATGCAGAATTACATTTCATAATGTTAACTTATCACTCGCTATTAAAAAACATCACGATAGTTAACACTGATTTTTCCCACTCCTAAATTGGAATTGCTTTTGTTAATGGTTGAAAATACTGTGTATTATACAAGAGACACAATAGTATTGATGTCACATTGCTGATTTTAGAACTATCTATTTAAAGGACATGAATGATTGATTTTATTATTTCAAGGAAAATTAAATTTTGCTCAACAAGAGCCATGCTCTTTGTTCTTAATAGCATTTAATTGATGTTAACATTATGAGAACCTATATGAATATCATTGCAATACAAATGTAAATCTGTATTTGTACTGATATTTACATTAGTTCCACAGCAGAAACAAATGACAGCTATTTCCAGGCAATGTAGCACTGAAAAAAATAATTTTGCTGAATTGAACAAGAAAAGTTGGCAAGTATTAAAGTTTATTCCCTCCTTTAACAAGGCATGACTATCATCTGTTCGTACTCATTCTGCAGAATATTCCAATCAGCTTCTCTTGTTCTCAACCTTTCCAGCATCAGTTATTGCAATCTGTGCTTACCATGTGCCTGTGTTCAACTAATCTGACTTGGTGGCTCACCAGGAAAAAAGAAATGTCTTTTTCTCTTTCTCATGCTTTGAAGCAGCCTGGTACTGAGCATGTGTATGTCTCTGTATTTCTTATTGCAGCAGAGAAAGGGCTGATAGATCCAGCTTTTTTTTAACCTACACATGATAAGCTTTGCTTGAAGCTGCATGCTGTTTGTAAAGGTTCCTTTGGAATACCAGCTTTTGATTAAAGGATGTTGTTAATCTAACGTGGCCGTAGAGACTTAACACAGCTCTAACAATGGGAACGAGAAGAACGAAAGGTCAACTGATGTGGTCCTTCTCCTCCTTCATTTTAGACCTTACAAAGGGAAACAGACTCCCCTTCTGCGGAAACATTCCACATGCTCAGACCCCCAAAGGTTTTTCATTTTTTAAAATTCATTTATTCCACTGCAATCTTGCTCTTTTAGAGGACGTTTTCCTGCCATTTTCCTTTCTCCTAGAAAATAACAGGATGCAACTTTTTCTCTTGATGATTTAGCTCCCCCATGCATACTGTTTTTTCAAAAAACATGTTTTTTGGGTGACTTTGTTAAACAATAGTGTTAGATCCACAGAACCAGGAGAACAGTTGCTAGTACTGTCCCACAAATTCTTCTGCAGGAGTTCACTCTGGGATATATTATGAAGGCTCTATGGTTAGTTAAGCTGGCTGGATAACTCAGTGGTTTAGTGATTTAGCTCCCCCATGCATACTGTTTTTTCAAAAAACATGTTTTTTGGGTGACTTTGTTAAACAATAGTGTTAGATCCACAGAACCAGGAGAACAGTTGCTAGTACTGTCCCACAAATTCTTCTGCAGGAGTTCACTCTGGGATATATTATGAAGGCTCTATGGTTAGTTAAGCTGGCTGGATAACTCAGTGGTTTAGGCATTTATTTATTTAATACAATTAAAATAGATACTCTATATGTGACATCCTACCTAGTAAGCAACAGGTAAGTTCTATGGAGAAGTCTTACCTTATGACACTTTGCCTCTAAAATTTATGCAATTTGTAGAACTGCATAACAGGATTTCAGCAAATAATTTAATACAAGAATGGTTTTCTTGTTTAGTCATTAAGTCGTGTCCGATTCTTCGTGACCCCATGGACCAGAGCACACCAGGCCCTCCTGTCTTCCACTGCCTCCCAGATTTGGGTCAAATTCATGTTGGTAGCTTTGAAGACACTACCCATCCATCTCATCCTCTCTCACCCCCCTTCTCTTCTTGCCTTCACACTTTCCCAACATTAGGGTCTTTTCCAGGGAGTCTTCTCATGAGATGGCCAAAGTATTGGAGCCTCAGCTTCAGGATCTGTCCTTCCAGTGAGCACTCAGGGATGATTTCCTAAGTTTGATATTCCTGCAATCCAGGGGACTCTCAAGAGTTTCCTCCAGCACCACAATTCAAAAGGATCAATTCTTCGGTGGTCTGCTTTCTTTATGGACCAGCTCTCACTTCCATACATCACTACTGGAAAAGCCATAGTTTTGACTATGTGGACTTTTGTCGGCATGCTGATGCCTCTGTTTTTAAAATGTTGTCTAGGTTGTCCGGGATATCTAAATATTTCTGATATAATTCCTCTGTGTATTCTTGCCACCTCTTCTTGATGTCTTCTGCTTCTCTTAGTTCCCTCCCATTTTTGTCCTTTATCATGTCCATCTTTGCACAAAATGTTCTTTTAATATCTCCAGTTTTCTTGAACAGATCTCTCATTTTTTCTCTTTCTATTATTTTCCTCTATTTCTAAATGAACAGTGCAAAGAAGACCCTCTTGCCCCTCTTTGTTATTCTTTGGAAGTCTGCATTCCATTTTCTGCAACTTTCCCTATCTCTCTTACATTTTGTTTCTCTTCTCTTCTCGGCTATTTGTAAGGCCTCGTTGGATAGCCACTTTGTTATTTTGCATTTCCTTTTCTTTGGGATGGTTTATGTTGCTGCATCCTGTACAATGTTACGAGCCTCTATCCATAGTTCTTCAGGCAGTCTGTCCACCAAATCTAGTTCCTTAAATCTGTTCTTCACTTCCACTGTGTATCCATAAGGGATTTGGTTTAGATTATACCTGAGTAGCCCAGTGGTTTTTCCT